ATATATATATATTTAATGTTTACTTTTGAGAGAGAGCGACAGAGACAGAATGTGAGCAGGGGAGGAGCAGAGAGAGAGGGAAACATAGAATCCGAAGCAGGCTCCAGGCTCTGAGCTGTCAGCACAGAGCCTGACGCAGGGCTTGAACCCACAATCGCGAGATCATGACCTGAGCCGCAGTCAGACGTTTAACTGACTGAGCCACTAAGTGCCCCTCTAAGTCTCTTTAGACGCATTAACTAATTGAGCCTCATCCCAGTCTTATGGAATAGATCCCCATTTTACACATGAGGAAACTGAGACTAGAGAGGTTACGAATATGGTTCAAGATCACACAGCCACTAAGTGTCAGGGCCAGGAGCTGAATGAAAGCCTGTCAGGCTTCATTGCCACCATTTGGACCACTCTGCAGTAATGCTCTCAGCGTGTTCTTGGTGATCAGGACTTTTTCTTTCTAAAGTATACGGTTGGCTCTTCAACAATGTGAACCTTAGGGGCATTGACCCCCTGTGCAGTTGAGAATTAGTGTATAACTTTCAACTCCCCCAAAACTGAATAGCCCACTGTTGACCAGAAGCCTTACTGATAACACAAATGGTCAACTGACACCTATTTTGGATGTTATATGTGTAATCACTGTAAACTAGAGGGCGCCTGGGTGGCTCAGTCAGTTAAAACGTCCGACTTCGGCTCAGGTCATGATCTCTCAGTCCGTGGATTTGAGCCCCGCATCGGGCTCTGTGCTGACAGCTCAGAGCCTGGAGCCTGCTTCGGATTCTGTGTCTCCCTTTCTCTCTGGCCCTTCCCTGCTCGTTCTCTCTCTCTCTCACTCTTTCTCAAAAATAAACATTAAAAAGAAATTTTTTAACGTACTGTAAACTAGAGAAAGGTAAACGTTAGGAAAATCATAAGGGAAGAGAAATCACATCTGTCGTACCGTCCTGTGCTTACTGGAAAGATCTGCCTCGTTCAAACCCATGTGGCTCAAGGGTCAGCTGTAGCTGTGGTTTCAGTTGACCCCTCCCGTCTTAACTTGGTAAAATAAGAGGGCATGGAGCCTTGCTCAAGGTCACGGTAGATAACGTGTGCCCTTCAGAGAAAACCACTGAATGTTCCCTGCCCGGCTGGAGTAGTTCTCCTTTGCTTTTGCTCAGATTTCCTTTCCTGTCAAGGCCCAACAGCACTAATGGCTCCAGGAAAAGTCAGGCTGAGCTCGTAGTTGCTCTTCTGGGCCCGGACTTCTTGGTGGACTCCATCTGCTGTTCTTAGCCCCCGTTCTGGCTGGCAAGGGAAAGAGAACCAGAAAGCCCTCCCGAGGCAACAGTGGCAAAGACATAAATTATGTCAGGGATGCGGTTGACCAGAGGATGTGCTCTGCTGTCTTCTCACGATCTGAGGCTGCACGTTTCCTCCTGAAGCAAGCACAGCAGCTGACTTGCTCAGAGATCCTACCAGAAGCTGGTGGCCCAAGGAGTTAGGCCCCCCAGTCCACTTCCAGTCCTACCTCTGATTTCCTGGGCAACCTTTGGGTGCGTCCCAGCCGGCTTTGACCTCCGTGAACGTACTTATGAAATGAAGGAGGAGTCATTCTAACGCTTCCTGGATGCGTTATCACTCTGGGCACCGAGCTGGGTGAGCCAGGGGCAGCCCTCTCTGGACCTGTTCCTGAACAGCTGCACACACAACAGGGCGGGCCTCACGGCCGGTGTGAGTGTGCGGGGATCAGGTCTGCCCTGTTTTGTCCCCTGGGCCCGAAGTATTTCTCTGGGTAGCTCAGTTACCGACTCAGATCGACCATTTATTTCATGCCTTCTCCAGTTTTTTTCAAGACTCTTTCAGATCTTCCACCCTGCTTTACTTCCTCATTTTGAGCAAATATACCTTTTTACTTAAAAAAAAGAAAAGGGGGGTGGGGAGATGGGTCTGGGTGGCTCTGTCGGCTGAGCGTCCAATTTCAGCTCAGGTCAGGATTTCGTGGTTCGTGGGTACGAGCCCCGCATCGGGCTCTCTGCCGTCATTGGGGAGCCACTTCAGATCCTGTCTCCCTCTCTCCATGCTCTCTCTCAAAAATAAACATGAAAAAAAGAGTCCGTTCAGAATTGCCTAATTCTCCTGATACCAAAATTAACCTCACTGTGTCTGTGCCCAACCTACTCTCCTTTGCCTCCCGAACGGAAGAAGCCAGCCACCCCGGCAGTATCTTGGGGCCCCTTCTCTCTTGCCCATTACTGTTTCTTCCATTAAAGATAGCATGTCTTTTCGTTCTCTGTCTTAGCGATTTTTGTCTTCGTCTTTGATTTTCAGCAAGTTTGTTATGTGCCGACATGTAGTTTCATTTAAAAATATTTTTCCTCTGGTGTCTGCAGTGAAGTGACTTAAGGAAGTTCTACAAGATTACGACGACTACCCAACCAACCGAGTGAGTCGTCTTACTTAGTTCTACATATGGCTCTTTCTGGCACAAGACCGCCTACCCCATCATGCCAGAATATTTACGTAGAGCACTTTTAAATCAAAGTACTCCAAGTGCTCTCTCTATCCCCTCCATAAATATTTACCGGGCACTCTTTGGTGAGCCAGGCCCCGAGCTGGGTGCTGGAGATACGGCGGAGGGCAGGAACGTGCAGAGCCCCACGTGCTAGGAGCTTCCAGTGGCTTTCAGTGGGTGTGACCCGCCTCCAGAGAGAATGGACTTTTGCTTCCAGCACACAGAGTGAAGGTCAACAGTCTTTATCCATCTGGTGTCCAGCTCGTTTGAAGCTGGGTTTCAGTCTTTGTGAGGACTGCTCCATTTCGAGTTGATTCTTCCTCCTGGGAAGGAAGCCGGTGGGGGAGTCCCCACTGAAAGTCTGGAGGTCTCCAAGCCCCTCCTCTGTGGTGGTCTTCTCCAGTAAGATGAACTTCTCAAAGCATTTTTAAGCTTCTCAGCTGCTCAGTGAGCCCTTCCAAATCAGCAAATCCCTTGAGGGGAAGAGAAGCATCTAGAGTCTGTCTCACTGTGTCTCGCTTAGGTGCGGTTCCCCTTTCTCTGTGAACCCAGCTCAAGTTCTGTGTGCCTTTCAGGGCCCTGGACACCGGTGTGTGTCTCTCAACCCTTTGCTTGGCTCCTGAGCCCCGTGGCTGCTGTGTTTTGCTTGACTACCCTGTCTTCCTGCTCTGCTTGCAAAGGGACAAATGCCTCAAAGGGAGACCGACCGCTCAGAAGGTCAGGCTCACGGCCACACTGCCCTTGTCTAGTAGCGTGGACCCCTCTCCCTGGCTGTCTTGGTAGCTCTACAATGGCCATAAGCCGCTTGTGATTTAATTCAGTTTTCCGTCTGTTCTCGGCAGAAAAGTTGCTATAATACAACTTAGTCTGACGTGGCCCAAAGTGAGCCACAGGACGAATGCCATTTCAATTGTCGGAACTTTTTAGCACTTGAGATCCACACCCCTGTTCTGCGCACCAGCGGAGCCGCCTTCCGCCGAGCGTCCCGACCTGTCTCTCTTTGCTGCTGTGCGCCTCATTGCTTCATGCTGTCTCCCCACTCCCTGCCTGTCTGGATGCGAGATTTTAAGATTGTGTTCCATTCCAACAATGGTGTGGATGTGGGCGGCTGAGCACCCACCTGCCCTCCAGAGCCGGTGACGGGGTGCGGCGAAGTTGGTTGTGTTCCTGACGTTAGTTAACTCAGGTTCGGGTCCTCCGATGAGCTGTTGGTTTCGTTTGGTTCGGCTCGGCGCTCTCTCTAGCGGGTGAGAAAGCCCCGGACTTTCTTCTTCGTTTCTTTTCGGGATGTTTGACGGTGTAGAGGAACTTGTTGGGAATTAGAAGTGGAAATCATTTTTTTTTCCCCTCTATTTTCATAGTCAGCACTGAGATTTTGCATGTGAATGGGGCAAATATTGAAACCAATTTAACAGTGATACAGCAGTTCGTTTGTCTTTTAGGCACAGGCGTCCCACGCGACCTATGTTATGTAAGCTCACAGCGTCCTCACTTATGGTGGCAGTTTTGTTTCTCATTTTAGGTACCCATAAAAATCGAAACACAATTACTCTTGTTCTTGACTACATACTTCACACGTTTCATTCCATTTACTCCTTACCGTAACCCAAGGAGACTAGTATTAATTTTTCCATTTAGACTTTGATGTCGCTCCCTTAGCAGAACAAGCCTTTGAATCTAGCCCTGTGGGACTCCCAGTCGTGGTGCTTGGCAGGCCTGCTCTCTGGCTCTCCACGTGGCTGTTCCTGCCATGGGTATTATCTGCTCTCCTGAGATTTATCTTTGCAGAATTACGGAGGAGATCAGCCACTTCATCCCAACTGATTTGTGTTAAAGAATGAGATTGTGCAAGCCGGGCAAGACCAGACTTTCTGAGGATTTCTCATCTCCTTAGGAAAGAATGTGTGGCAACTTATTTTGGCAAAGTACAAACTGGTGTATTATTAACTTACTGTGAGTCAGGATGCTTGCTTTGTGTGATTTTTTTTTTTTTTTTTTTTTTTTTTTTTTTTTTTTTTTTGAGATCTTGAAGCCAGAACTGCCAACAACAACAACAAAAGGATTAATTGTGAACTAATTCATTGTATCTGTCATTCTTGATTTCAGGCAAGTCTACTTAGCATTAACAGCACTTGTACAGAGATGGGAAATTTTGACAATGCTAATGTCACTGGAGAAATAGAGTTTGCCATTCGTTATTGCTTCAAAACCTGCTCTTTAGAAATATGCATCAAGGCCTGTAAGAATCTTGCCTATGGAGAGGAAAAGAAGAAAAAGTGCAATCCGTAAGTTTCTTTTTCTAAGTTTTGACATTAGATGATAGGCATATTGGGTCTAAAGTTTATATAGAAAAGTAAAAGTCGAAAATAAACCAAGACAATTGTAAAAAAACAAAACTAAACTAAAAAGCCATAACAAGAATTATTTTAAGGCTGCACTAATTCAAACAATGTGCTATTGATGCAATGATAGATAAGTAGGTCAACTGAGCAGAATCAGAGGTCCAGATGCAGACCTAAGCTATATTTGGGAGTTTCTAGGATCAAGGGGCTATTAGAAATCAGTGTGGAAAACATGAATGTCAATGCATGCTGTTGGGAAATTTGACTTCCCATACAGGAAAAACCAAACCAAAAACCTGTCTCACACAATCTGTAAACAGATTAAAGATTTTTTCCAGGGCACCTGGGTGGCTCAGTCAGTTGAGCGTCTGACTCTTGATTTCGGCTCAGGTCATGAATCCAAGGTCATGGGATCGAGCCATGCACTGGGCTTTGTGCTGAGCCTGGAGCCTGTTTAAGATTCTCTCTCTCTCCCTTTGCCCCTCTCCCCTGTGGTGCTCTCTTTCTTTAAAAAAAGGTGGGTTTTTTTCCCCCAACTGCTATGAAAGGATATCACATTAATTTTTAGGGTGCATTTCCCTGATTACTAAGAAAGATGAGCAACTTAGACACTTAGGGGTCACCTTCTGTGAACTTCCCATTCCTATCTTCTGCCATTTTTCTATTGGGTTGTCATTTTTGTCATTTATTTACAGGAGGGTGGGAGTTTTTTAAAACCCATTCTTCATTGGTTATGTGTATTTTGCATATCTTCTACTTGTTACTTGTTTTTTTTTTTTAATTTTTTTTTCAACATTTATTTATTTTTGGGACAGAGAGAGAGCATGAACGGGGAAGGGGCAGAGAGAGAGGGAGACACAGAATCGGAAAAAGGCTCCAGGCTCTGAGCCATCAGCCCAGAGCCTGACGCGGGGCTCGAACTCACGGACCGCGAGATCGTGACCTGGCTGAAGTCGGACGCTTAACCGACTGCGCCACCCAGGCGCCCCTTGTTACTTGTTTTCTAACATTGTTTATGATAGCTTTCCTTGCAGAGAATTTGATGTCCAGTTTATCAGTCTTTTCCTTTAAAATGTCTGCCTGTTGAGTCTGCAGAAAAACTGAAGGTTATAAATCTCTTCTTCTCTATTTTCATCCATTAGAATGTTTTCATACTTAGATCCTTTCGCATTACAACTGGAATTGATTTTCTGTGTATGGCTTAAGGTTAAGGACCACATCTTTGTCTTTCTCTTGCCTACATGGGAAACTTTGAGCACAGTTTTTTGATTACCAGTTAGGGAGGGGGGATAGATTGTTGGTCCAACCAGACTCTCCTCTGCTCTGAAACTTTCAGGGTAGACACGAAGCACAGATGAAGTACATCACTGTCGCACTCATGGTTCTCCAAAACAGGGTCCTTCTTGTCTTGCTAGTGTCTTCTGTTATCCCCCCAACTTATACCTTATGCTTAGGAAACCTGGAATAGTCGTTGTTTCAAAGCTATCGCCCTGACTTTTCCAAACAGAGGCATTCCTCATGTTTGTTCTGGGACTGCCTTCCCAATGCCACTGCTACAAGTAGCAACCCTGATCCTGTCCGTTTTTCAGACTCCAGTCCAGTCAGAGACATTTACTCAGCCCTTGACTGTGCATGCATGCTGGGCCTCTGCTGTAATTCTCAGAAGGACTATAGTGAGGTGGTTGAGAGGATGGACATTGAACCCTGGTCCACCATGTATGCAGTTTGACCTTGGGCAAGCCACTCAACCTCTCGATACCTCAGTTCCCTCACTGTAACACGGGAATAATAATAGCACCTACTTCAAAGGATTGTTGTGGTGTTTCCCTGAATTTGCCCCTACTGAGCCTTCAGAACAATGTCTAGAACATGATGAACACTCAACAGATAGGAAGCAAGTGAGACATGAAGTACACAGACAAGTAGACCTAAAAATCCACAATAGGGACCCCCTTGAGGTTTGGGCCAAATACTCAGCTGTTGACACACAGGACAAGATTTCATGAGGTCTGTCACAGAGTGGCTGCTGGTGAGCCACTGGGTGTGGCTCAGTGCTGGGGAAGATGGGAGCTCTGACCAGCCAGAGTGGAGACTGCTAAACACCCAGGGCAGTCAGAGAGACACAGCAGTAGGACCTCTCCAGCCCCGGAGTAAGGGCTACTGTAACTCACCCCAGCTGAGCAAAATCAAACCTTGCCAGGGGCAAACTGACTTGCCCATCAGTGAAATGCCTGCTAGAACAAAACTCCGTGCTTTTTCAAGGAAAAATAGCCCAGAGAGGATTCTGGGACAGTGGCAGGGTGGGAAGCACCAGGAATCGGTCTCCCTTTGCAGACAACAATCGCACTGGTACCATCTGTCCGATGTAACTATTTTGGAACTCTGGAGTCTAGTGAAGGCTGGCAACTTCCAGAGGAAGGCTTGGAGGGGACATCGAGGTCAATTTCAGTCAATGTCAGTTCTTAGCAGGATAGCAGCTACCCATCCCTCACTCACAGCCACGGCCATGCCAGTGTTCCTGGAGCAGCTCACACATCTCTCACAGGAGTCCACGTGGGATATCTGTCCTCCAAATATCAGGGATCTGTGCTCTGACTGCAGGTTGCCGCTTCTGATCACAGAGGCACAGACACAGAGGTGGGCAGCCATTACTGTATCTCCTCCAGTTACTGGGATCCAAAAGGGGTCCTCAGGGGGGTTACCCACAGATTTTTCATCAGCTACTATAGAGGCCAGAAGGCAGTAAGGAAATATATTCAAAGTACTAAAAGGGAAAAAAAAAAAAAAAAAAAAAAAAAAAAAAGCTGTCAACCAAGAACCCGATAGCCAGCAAAGCTGTTCTTCAGGTTTCTGTTCTGAGGCAGATACTAAGACATTCCTGGATAAACAAAAGCCAAGGGACTTTGTTAACACTAGAAATTTCTGTCTTGCAAGAAATGCTCTAAGGGGCCCTGCAGGGTGGGCCGGAAGGATACCAGACAGTAACTCAAAGACCTACAAAGAAACAAAGACCTCAGGAAAAGCAAAGACACAGGCAATTATAAAAGCAAGTATTATTTAACCGTGGCATGTGCTTCCACTGTTTGTTTTCCACAAGACTTAAGAGACTAATGTATATATTTTTAATTATTCATCTCTCACTGTTGCTGTAACTTTCGTTTGTAACTCCACACTGTTTTTTAAACTAATTTAAGAGCGGAATGCATTTAAAGGAATGATTAGTTGGTGACTTTGGTCGCGCAGTGTAGAAAGGTGCAATTCTGTGACCTCGGCAATGCACAGAGGGAGGTTGGCACTATAAAGAAACCGAGGGGGGCGCCTGGATGGCTCAGTCCCTTGAGCATCAGCTTCGGCTCAGGTCATGATCTCGTGGTTTGTGGATTTGAGCCCCGGGTAGGGCTTACTGCTGACAGTGCAGAGCCCGCTTCTGATCCTCTGCCCCCCCTCTTTCTCTGTCCCACCCCCCCTTCTCTCTCAAAAATAAACATTAAAAAGAACATCTACGAAAAGAAATGAGAATGGAATTTAAACATTTCACCACAAAATTGAGCTAAATACGAAGAATGAATACAATAACGCAGGTAGTGAGGGACACTGATGCTAGAAGATAGAAACAAATGGCAAGTGACAGAAGGAAGTCCCTCCTTATCAGAGTTACTTTCAAATGTCAATGATTTAGAGACAGAAATTCTCAGAATGGATAAAAACATAGGAGCCAAAGGTTGCCAGGATCAGGTTCTTGGGCCCGACAACAATAGAAACAAGGCTGGACCCCACAATCAAAGTGCAGGCAAGGCTTTATTGGGGCCGCAGCTCGAGCTGAAGAGAGAGATGGCACTAACAGAGCGGTTGGGCTGATGGCCTTGTGCAGGGAAGAGGCTGGCCCCACGAAACAGGAGGAGGGGGGAGCAGGGGAGGCCCCTTTCTACAGAGAAAGTAACCTCATCCTGATCGGTTGGAAGGCAACTCAGGCTGCTTGTTGGTGCTTTTTGGAGCTGGGGTCCTCTGCTTTAAGTCCAGCTTGTACATGGGGCCACATCCTGGCTCCCCTTTGCAAGGGAAGCAGTTTAACAATTGCAGCCGACAGGGGAACGTGGGTGGCTCAGCCGGTTAAGCATCCGACTTCAGCTCAGGTCATGATCCTCATGGTTCGTGAGTTCGAGCCCCACATCGGGCTCCGTGCCGACAGCTCAGAGCCTGGAGCCTGCCTCGGATTCTGTGTCTCCCTCTCTCTCTGCCCCTTCCCGCTCACACTCTGTCTTTCTCAAAAATAAACATTAAAAAAAACAAAAACAATTGCAGCTGACAGAAAGTGCCCGAGGTGCACAATCTTTGGCTTGGGGCTAGTTCCCAGGGACCCTCAGTGTCTCACAGCTCTGTGCCCTCTATAAGAGACTCCCTCCGGATCCAAAGACAGAAACAGAAGATCTTCCACGTAAATAGTAACCAGAAGAGAACAGGAGGGGCTGTGCTAATATCACACAAAATAGACTTTTTTTCAAAAATTGTTTTTATTTTTGAGAGAGCATGAGTTGGGGAGGGGCAAAGAGAGAGAAGGGGACAGAGGATCCATAGCAGCGAGCAGCGAGCCTGATGTGGGGCTCCAACCCACGAACGGTGAGCACGTGACCAGAGCCAAAGCTGGTCACTCAACCGACTGAGCCACCGAGGTGCCCTACACAAAATAGACTTTAAAGCAACAAAGATCATAAAAGATAAAGGATGTTCTATGCTAATAAGAGGGTCCGTACAGCAAGATGTGACTGGTCTGTTTTGCTTCGGGAGAGTCAGGCCTGTGGGGAGCGCGCCTGGGGACGGAAGGGTCCTTGCTGTTACCAAAACTGCCAGAGCAACACCAGGACAGTCTCGGGACCTCCCTGGAGGGCGGGGTCCTTCTGGACAGGATCTCAGGGGATGGGCAGAATGCGGGAGGAGAGGCCCCACAAGGGAAAAGTAAAGTGTGAGGCATGGACTTTCTATTTCCACTTTTTTTTTTTTTTTTTTT